GTTATACCTACTTGGGTTGCCAGTCAAGACGTGATGAAGTAATTTTACGACGATGTCATATTGGCCACAGTCGATTTACACATGACTATCTGCTAAAAACGGATGGGGATGGACCCCCCATATGTCTCTCCTGCGGTGAGGCTTTCACCGTCAAGCATATTCTGCTTGACTGTGTGGACTTTACATCTGCAAGGGACTCGCATTATCACGCAACCAATCTGAAAGATCTGTTCTCCAGCGTGAGCGCTCATCTGATACTGAACTACCTGAGGGAAGTTGATCTATATCATAAATTGCAACTGTGTAATGTCACTAACGAATTTACCTGCTTTTCAATTTAGTGCTATGACATTCTCTGTTCCAAAATGACAATGTAATGAATGTGTTTCTTTGAAACGAAACCACTTTGTACTTACAATGTATATTAATGCAGACTTGTTCTCGTCACTATATGGCTGGAATAATGCCGATGTGACGTAAAGCCCAACTCAACTCAACAACTATAGTTAAAGCACGAGGACGCTTGCGAAAATGTGTTTTATTACACTATACATGGTGGTAGAGCGAAGTGTATTTCTTTTCTAAGATGCCAAATTTAATACTTTCTAATGATAATTACGATTTATTTAAGGCAGAAAACAAACGACGGTGTCGGTGACCTAAATTAAGAATCCTCGCACAGGGCTAACTGGCGCGCTGTTCTATTGATGTGTCTGCCCCACTACGTTAAGACGAACGTTACCGGAAAAAAACAAATGATAACAGTTTGATGACGGTTTATGTTCGGATTAAATATCTTCTCTGAATTATTTTAATTACATCTGTCATTAACGTAAACCATAAGGGGCAATAAATATTAGAAATTGGATTAGGTCCCTAACCCTAAACCCTAACCCCTCAGCCCTAACACTAACCCTAACCCCTTCAAATAATCCTAATAAATAGATTGCATTGACCGAACCACCGGACATGTACCTACTACATTGCATTAGGTCCCCAACCCCAACCCTAACCCCTAACCCCTAACCCCTAGCCCTAGCCCTAGCCCTAGCCCTAGCCCTAGCCCTAACCCTAACCCTAATCCCTTGAATTAATCCTAATAAATAGAATGCATTGGCCGAACCGGCACAAACACGACTGACGTGTCCAGTGTAATGCATTATTACCGCTTCGAAAAATAAAATACTAATATAACTTTCTTCTATGTAATGGTGCAAATTACTGAATGACAAAAATATATATGTAAATTTAAAAAAATACAAATACACAAAACATAACACCTCAGCAGCCCGTAATACTAATAAATATGAGCGTATTAGTGAAAAAAGAAAAATATTACAGACTGGTGCTTGCAAAATATTGCGCATCCGCCGGTATACAACTACTGGAAACTCTCAACATCGTTGGGCTTATGCAATGACTATAGCTCGTAGAGATGAAACATCAGTGAGCGGAGCTTATACGCACTCGCTGAGCCAGACAACCGTGTTGCCATGCAGGCGTCATAGGGCATTGTTTCGAGAACGTGCTTTCGAACAAAATCACATTACATTACGTAAAAAGGGTATTATGAGGTATTTATAAAGTTTGTGGTGCTGTATTCTAAAGGTAGGCCGCTTTATAAATAGCATCTTAAATCTCAGACTTAGCTAAGTCAGTTTTAAAAAACTTAAGTTTGGACTTAGGAAAAATCTTAGTTTCTTTATGAATATACCGCCCCTGGTTCCCGGCTCCCTTTGCTCGCGCTAACGTTCGCCAAAGCTAGGCTGCCATTTAAAACGCTCTGCTCGTTTAGTTGACGTCACATCCGGATTGGTCAAACTGGATTCCGTCGCGATGAAAGATCTGGGAATCATAAGACTTGAAAAGTGAACGTTGTGCGAGAATTACGCTTACATGGTCCTGGATCTGCGTATGGCTATAAAATTACATACAAATGTAGAATATTAAATTTCCTATCTGTTGGTATAAATATAAGTGCACCTACCTCGGCGGTTTGAGAAATAGACACTGTTAAATGTTGTCCAATTTTTTGTTATCCGTTAAAAAGCAGTAAATATCTCCGCTTTTGATTGTGTATTGATGAAAGCACTGTGCTACGAATTTTTTAATTTGGCATCGTTACGGAAAGTGTGAGCGAAGAAAATACAGCCTGATATCTGAACGACATAAGTATATATGAAATGGGTTTTGTGTGCTTATGCATAACGTTATACGCTCAATCTTATAAATGACTCGTAAGAAATGACGAAAGGGATTTAGTTCTATGACGTCAAACGACGACAGAGAGGCCATACACGTATAAAGATAAGGGGTCACAACTCCGACATGCTTAACCCTAGGTCAATGTAACTCTGAATACTTGGAGAGAATTTGTTGTGGATACGGACGCTATATTTTCGTTATGGCTTGTTCACCATGAACCAAACTATACTAATACAAAGTTCCACAATGTGAGCGGATATGTTTTGGTAGTTGCACAATATTCATTAGAAAAGATGACAAAGCACTACATGAGAAAGCACGTAATAGCGATTTGGATGGCCCTAACTGATATATAATTTAGTACTTAGATTCCCATATTCTCCTGTTAGTGTAGATGTATTTTGACTAATTTTGCGTCTTTATTAATAGAGTACTAGCCATATCTTCAAATGTAATGAAACTACTGAAAATAATATCACTGTATGCGGAAGTATTTTGTGACGCAGTTTCATCGGATCTGAAAAGTGAACGTTGCATTGGATCTACACTCCTCCGACTATTACATTATGTTCAGATGTAGAATACATTTTGTAGATCTGCTGACACTTGTCTAAAGGTACGAGATTTTGACACTAACATAGTCAATTTCCTATTAAAAGTATGTTCAAACCAACTAATTATCAAACGTTCATAAATCTATAAACTACACAGTGTAAGATCTGAATTGTGATGATTTGTTTACATTTTAAACAAGTAGAGTTTGCTCCGCCTTCGTTTTCACACCTTATCTATATTGCTCAATTTCATATAACCACTTTGTATTGGTGACAAGACCATATTGCTTAAAAAGCCTACCCATGTTGATTTAATATTTGGTGAAAGGATGAACAAAGAGTTTGCCGCGGTGTTGATGCATCGCCTCAAACGTCTTCTTGCTGCTGTACTTAAGTGTCTTCAGGACACATTCAGCATTTTCTAAGTAAATAATTCAAAACTAATATATCGCCACAAAATATTATAAATTCATTTTCCGACTTACTACTGATTTTATGCCAGTGTTGGGTCTGTTGGCACACCTACCCACTCTAAAACATGTACACCTTTCAAACGTCATCCGCGAGGACAGTTTGGAATATTTGCAATACGAGATCTAATTTGTATGCGTGGCTCGACCGATGTCCACATGTATAAATTGCCTGCATATTTGTCTTGTTCATACATCAGAGATGATTTTATTCGCTCACAGTTTTCTGACAAGCTTATAATAAAAATCTTTGTCGCATAGGGAATTAGGGTATGTATTTGAAAAGCGACGATCCTTTCACGCAAACAAAACGAATATTTACGTTTACTATCATTTTTGTGAATATTGATATCATATATGTACAATAACAGAAAGTAAGAGTTTTGATAAAGAAGATTCCAGAAAATAAAAACAATTTATATTTTCAAAGGTCTTTCAAGCGCCTGCAGGACCGATTTTTGAAAACGATACCAAATGTGTTTTGGACGTCTTCCGATGAAGGACAGCGCGGCCGTCTTGAAATAGCAACCAATGGAAAATGACATAACATTGTCAATGTTGGCTTTTCGTAGGCCTTCCCCAGCCATCGTCTCTTTGGCCCGTACCGGCTCGTATATTGCAATATGCGAGACGGGGCCCAGCTTATGTATAGTTCCGACCGATCGCCCGTCAATCAATCAGATCGCGCCTTTCCGTCACCGCGGGATAGCTTGTTGCTAAGGCGCCATTAGGTCCCCCAAGCTTTCGGTTGTCAGGACATTTGACCCTGCAAAGTAGCTTGCCGTTTTTAGTGATAATGGGGAAACGCTGTGCATGGGGGGACTTGCGATTCTGATGAGGGATATCCTGAGAGGCTTGGGAATGCACTTTTCATTCCTTTTCCAAAACTCAAGTTCCGTTTGGAAACGTGTTTGCGATGGATTCGGGCTTGTGGAAGATCCCATCATCAGCTGAATAACAACATCAACAAACACAAATATGTGTGTTCAAAGGTACATTTAATTACTGATTCATTAACCTGTGAAATAATTGTTAAAGGGGGAAGATTTCAGTGAGGTTATCTGTCTACTGGAATTATATATATTACGTATACTTGAATTATCTATTATGATAGGTGCATACAATAGATCTAGTGCATATCTAAGCCGACTGCGTAGTGTAAATATTTATTATTTTTTTATATTAGATTTTTTATATTTTTTTTATCATAATCATAACCTGTAGTGAAGTAATACTAAACTCAGTAGGACACTTCACAATGACTTTATATAATCAATAAGAAAAATAAATTGTCAGATTGTGGTACTGCCAGCAGATATTGTGATTTCATATTATCAAAAATCAATTTTTGACTTTGCTCACTTCAAATATATGTGATTAGTGTTAGAATTTCTGAGGAATTTGATAATCAATGTCCTGTTTTGACAGCATTTCAAGACCAACAGCAGAGTTCCCATACCCTATTGCTATTGGGGGAAATGTGACCCCAACCCGGCCACCACCAAAAGAGAGGATCCGTCTGGATACCTGTGATTCATCTCCAAGGTATATTTTTTTATAAAAAGAATGATACCTCTGATTCATCTCTAAGGTATATTTTTTTTAAAAAAGAAGTGTATGTAACAGTTTAACATTTCAAGAATACAATGCCTATTAAGAGTTGTTTTGATGTTTTTTGTGCTCATACTACAAACTTTACTATAATTATTTAAAAAAGATGTAATGTTAATGTGACAAACATCAGTATGTAAGAAACAACACAACAAAAGAATAGTACCTCATCTATTTTTTATTTTGTCCTCACTTGTCAGTGTATGATGACTTTATTTAATCCCAAAATTTGGACAATGAAGAAAAATTATCAACTTATTTCATGCATCCCCAAAACGTATAACCATGTTATTATAAAACAAGAGCGATAACAACATATAAATATAAAGCATAAAAATAACAACACAAAACTTAAATATAAGTACACCTGAAATGGTTGACCTCAAAGTTGTGCAATTATGATAAATTATTACATAATTTGATGCATGTAAAAACGATTGATCTGTAACAAATTATACAGAAACAAGTGTGATAACAAAATATACCTGTAAATAAAACTAACAAATCTAAAATAACAAAACAAGAAGATTAAACCATTGTGTAAGATGAATAATCTGTCCAAAATAAATGAGATCTATACATGGAGATGAATATATAGAAAATATATGAATATAAAGAAAATATATGAATATAAAGAAAATAAAGAAGTAAAGTGACAACGGCTATAAGGGTAAATTACTTACTCATGAATTTACCTAATTTAGATTTACAAAAAATATGATATTACAATATTGCCACATATTTACTACAAATAACTATTTTTCTAAAAAAAATGTTATTTCAGACAACTGTTTCAAGCAAACAGAGAAATATCCCCCAGGAAGTGTCTGTTGAAGAGAATCAAGGTACACAGACTGATGAATCATGTAAGTATAACATGGAAAAGCTCAGTTGGGGGCAGTCAATTATGGCACTTAAGGCAAAATCTTAATTCCATATTCAGTTGAAGCTGATAGTATTAGCAAATCAAAACCATGAGGCCATTATAATCAATTTAAAACATTTTGAAGTTATATAGCTAATTTCAGAATCTTTCATAACAAGATGGAGACATTGTTTTTCCTGAATTAGGATAGTGAACAACGAATATCCAAAAGCACTTGATGGTTAACACCATCAATTATTGTACAATTTACATGTCAAGAAATGGTATGTTCTTTAAAGAATGCTTTTCTAGCATACATGTCATGTATTCAATGTCTGTGAAAATACGCTCAATGTACGCTCTCTTTTTTGGTGTAAACCACATATTCATAGAACTCAGCCCCGGTTAACATTAATTGTGCCTGAATTTGGGCATAGTGAGCATGTCTGTTGGATAGTTTGAGAATGGCAATTTCCTCCTTCTGCAAAAATAGATTTGTTATCTTTTCTCATGCTTCTTCAAGTGTAAAGTGTCAAGCTGAGTTCGGGCATTTAATTTCAATAATTCTGTTCTCCTTTTCACAACAATATATCTTGCCATCAGGAGTGGCTCCAAGGAAACTGAAATTATTGTTGATTACTAGTCCACTCTCATGTAGATGGTTTGAGATTTTGTGTTCTAAATATGTTTTCTTGGCCTGTACTTCAATGTTCATGCCATAGGAAAGAGATACTGAATGCAAAGCAGTCTTGGGAAAAAGACTGTTGAGGAAAGATAGTGTAGGTTTCTTCTTTCTGTTCATAACCTTTCCGAAGTTGGAAGCTGTAAGACGATTAGATCTTAGATCTTTTCCAGGATCTGTAAGTTGATACTGGGCATTAAGATCTTCATACCCAGCAGCGAGTTGTACAGGTGACATTTTCGGAAACTTGATGGGGGCGCAGGTAGTTGATACTGCACGTGATTTCATCTGAAAATAAAAAAATTAAATCATTGGAAATAATAACTTTAAGCCCGGACATATTATTTTATATATTTCATTCCAAATTACAAATTAGCCTGTTATTTTTCAGTCATCACTCCACTTGAGAAACACCAGACAGTCCAAATTCAGGATCTGAGATCCAAGGTAGAAGATCAAGGGCAACAGATCAAGGATATGAAGAAAAATTTAAAGGAAAAAGACAAGGGAATTGTAAAGTTGAGGGAGGAACTTAAGAAATGTCAAAGATTTAATGTGACCAGTGTCTTGGTGAGATCAGGGAAAGTAAAGGGCCTGTTTAAATACTACACAGGCATTACTTATGTCAGGTTTCTTGCCATATTCAGTTATTGGCCTTCCTTCTGCCAGGTGATCAGGCATCATGTCTGAATTATGAAAAAGGTCATCGTGACATTAAAAATTTATCTACTAAAGATTGCTTGTTCCTGACTATGTCGACTGTGCCACAGTTTTGGATTAAAAGACCTCGCTATGCGTTTTGGACTGTCATTGCAATCAGGTGGTGTAATATTCAATACCTGGATTGAACACGTGAACTTGAAAATGGGCCAGTAAAGTATATGGCCACATAAAAGTATAATCCTTCAAATTATGCCTGCAAAATTTAGAAAGGAATATCCTTCATCCATGATGATTATTGATGGGACAGAACTGAAGACTCAAGTACCCTGTGCTTTAGGGTTACAGTCTCAGCTATACAGTGACTAAGTACTACTTTAAAGTGTTGTGTATGTTGTGCCCCTTGTGGTTCATTGACATTTGTTTCTGAATTGTTTACAGGTTCAATTTCAGATAAAGCTTTAACTGATCAATCAGGATTTTATGATGCTGTACGAGGCAGGTACAAGAATAGATCGATGTTGTTGCATCCTGTGATATGAATGTGATACTAGTCTCTATGAAATAAACATAATTTCAGTTACTTGAAATGTTAGTCTTGTTACTTAAAAAATGATGTACTGATTGTTATGTTTTGACTGTTTTGAAGAACAGGATCCATGTCCCAATAGATTAAAACATTACCTGATATGACAAGACTGATCCCAAGCTAGACGTCTCCGAGCAGAGTGTTTAGTCACCGGGGTGCATCTGTCTGTAGCACATACTGCAGTGGGGTAATATGTGGAAGTCTGCAACAATATTCATCTACATTATATTCATTTGACACACAGTTTCTGAAAATTAAAAATAATATCCTTAGTTCAATGCGTATATACTCTTTATAGACCATTAGGACCAACTTTAAACCTGCACCTGTTTTAGTGATTATGTGCAAAACAGTTTTCACCAATTACAATGCAAAAGTGACAAAAGTATCCATACCTGGTGTCATTGAACTTGACAAATGATTGGCTTCCTATTTCTAGACTGGGCAAGAGGTTGAGCCACAACCACTTGGTTGATAGGCACTGGGATGATCTTGCTGCCCCTGTGAATCTACCACTGTTGCTGGAGGCTGGTGCAACTGTTTTTCATGAATGTGCGTGAAATTGTGAGGCTTCAATCCCTGAAGTGTCTTCACAAGGCCAAAGATGTGGGAACATCTTTCACCAAATCTAAACAAAAATGAATTCATGTGAAGGAAATCTAAAGATTTTTTTTATAAAAATGAAATACCATTGCATCAAGAAAAACATCTAACCCCAAATCATGATACTTATTTTTAAGTGTATCAAAATGAACATATAATGATATAGGTGAAATCACAAATAATCTAAATTCGATTTTCAGTAGATTCTAACTTGTAATTTATAATAGTCTTTACTTATAATTAATAGTACATTCTGTGCTAGGCATGGTGTTTCATTAATAAGTTTATATTTGAAACAGTATATTACTAGCCCTGCGTAACATTTGGAGGCTGATCGAAAACTAAACAATTGAATTTTACGGTTCATTTTTAGCCAAATTACTGAATGGATAAATCTTCTGTTTCCTTTTTGCCGATAGTATATGTAAACCCGATGTACAATAAATACAGAAGTGTAAACATTCGTCATGTTTTGATGCCAAACTTCGATAGGACTAGAAATCAATCAACACACCAGTCATAACCCGACGAGAACAAATGATCAGTCACTGTGCCATTGAAATGACAATCTCTTAATCTATCAGGCACTGATTTTAAGTGATTTATATGAGGATTTACTGACTTCTTATCAATGACGTACTTACCCAGCTTTACAAGAACAATAGCTGTGAACGATCTTCTCGGCGCTTGTGTCAATCCTCGAATGGAGGGTATGCGGGCTCCGATTCTTCGACATTGACCCCCAGCACATAGCAGCAATGTCAGAGGTGTTGTCACGGTTATAAGCTCGTATCTCATGGATATAACCCTGTGAAGAAATAGTGTAAGCCTGTCTGTTGCGATTTCTGCGTCAAAGTAGGATGATCTGGCAAGAATGCAACAGATATTGTGTCGGGACCTGTCAACAGGCAAACGGTGCCTGACCGTGTATCCGCCATTTTGACAGCTCGGCATCCCAAAGCTTGGGGGACGTAGCAGCAGTAACCAAGGTGGGCGGAGCTTGGGTCGGTAGTCGGAACTATGCATATCTGCCTGTGGCAGAGTACTATGCTAAGCTGGTTCCCGGCTCCCTTTGCTCGCGCTAACGTTCGACAAAGCTATATTGCGATATGCGAGACGGGGCCCAGCTTAAGTACTATGCTGGCCTGTCGCATGGAACTCTGGGTAGGACAGTGACTGTATCGAAGCGTCAGCGCAACAGACCATGGGAACCAGGCTGAACACGACATACCGCTGTGTGGAGGCTTTCTCGAGTTAGATAGCTCTATGTTGTCCGAAAATGAGTGGATTGTTTCTCACGATTGCTTTACTGGCTTTACAGCATAGATCAATAGGTAGGCCAGGCTAATGCATTTTAATACCGCTTATAATTATTATGTATCGTACCGTCGTCACAAGTTTTACATGATACTCTAAAGCCAAGACCCACCACTCGTCATATATGTCATATATGTGCATACCGTTGTCTTTGTACAGACCCGTGCCAGTTATATTTGGACACTTGACGTAACTTCCATGTAAAAGTATGAAGACTTTGATGAATAATTTTGTTTCTTATAAAAAAATATTCACTTTGATAAAAATGTTGATTTTGATGTAAAATTTTGATTTAATAGTAATGTTGACTTTATACACATGTTAACGTAAATGGATGTATAATTTGATTTAAGAAATAGTTTGACCTTGAATTTGGTGAGAAGCCTGATACAATAGCATTGTTTTGAAATTATCGGCTAACTAAGTATATGGGGAGTCTTGGGTAGAGTAGTGAGCTTGGGTTCACTACTAGTCAATCTGAATGTTGTATTAAATGGCATTATTTTGGTAACAAATGAAAACATTTTAAGTTTAACCATCTGCCAGTGGTAAAAAATGTTAGGACTGAAATAAGGAAGTCAATGTACGTCTTTATATTTTGTCTTATAATCCTAATTAGTTTATTATCATATTTGTATGCATTTTGAAACTTAATAAAGTGCACGTGATCTGCTTATACTTACTGAATTTATAACATGATTGTAATATCTAGACATTCTATAAATTGCCAACGTGTATCATATTTCACACACGAGCCCTGACTGCAACCTAGTGTATGTTGTCTGTTTCATTACACTTAGATTCACAGCAAAAAAAAATGATTCTGTTGAATGCCATAACAAATAAATAGAAACAAAATGCAGATATTTAAATTAAAACAGACCAAAGTTATAGCAACAATATCAGGCTATTACCTTGTTGGGAGAATGTATCCATCAATATCATCATAAGGGAATGAGATGCCATTCATCTGCAGCTGACAAAGTATCCTGTTCCATGTTATGTGTCTTTTAACAGACTAATGTGCCAAAAAGTGATCTATCGGCTCAGGTTTTTCACATTGGTCACCCAAGATAGCACACCTAGCAACTAATTGCATGATGTCTGCCATTCTATAAAAAAGTAATTTAGTTAGCCAAGAATGAGCAATCAATCAATGTCTTTGGCGGTTAATCCTTTGAAGGAAAGACGTTGTTTTTACAAAGAGACTTTATGACAGGGTGTATTCAGTAAAGATTATTAAATCTACATACATAAACACTACCTTTTGACAAATCTGCTGTGCAGGATAAAAGCAATTAATCAATCAGCAAGTTATAAGCCTTTGATCGATGTTTGTTTTGAAACTTTGTTTTGATCATTCCTTTTACTGCACTTATACCTGTTATCATGGTTATAAATTCATTAACTGACCATCACGTGAATGATAACAAGTGACGTGTAGGTTTACCACCAAACAAGGGTTACAGCAAGAGAGTAGTAATCACTGTATTGCATGCAAGTTTGATTGTCTGAAGAAAACCTTATGGGCAGACACTGTTTTGAGGATAGGAACGGAACTTCATTGTTACATAAGAAATATATATAAGCATTTGCTGTGTACTTAATTACAGGTTTTGCTCTATATATGTAAATTATGTACAATCATCACTAAGGTTATGCAGACCACATGAGCATGGTAAGCGGAAGTTGTATGCGCATGGAATGAGGTGAAATAAGCATGCCAGTTTGTTGATGGTTCACCTACAATAAATATGACATTTAGTGAAACAAAATACGTATCCATTTTCTGTCAACTACACTTCATTTCGAAGGGTGAGTAGACGCAATATAATTACAGGGCTCCAGATAATTTTTCATGATCAGGAGTACATACTCCTTATTTGTTCAATATAGGAGTACTGGAAAACAATAAGAGTACATTTAGAGTACTGAATGGAATTTAATGGAGTATCAGTAATCCTACCGTATCGTGCATACTTTTAATCCGTACATACGCCGATATGGCCCTTATCTGGAGCCCTGTGGTTGTGATTGCTGTGGACCAAAGTTATGAATTATCAATTACTGCCAGTTGTCTTGTCGTCTGAGTTGGCCACGATTATAATAGGACCCCATAGCGAGGGTCGGCTTATGTACGAAATATTCCATTTTGTTACTGATTTTAAGGGTCATGTTAGGGGGTCTGTTTATCTTAGGTAATATATGGTATATATAATGCTTCTAGTCAAAATAAGTATGAAATACTGCTGATGTGAGTAAGTGTTAGTCAGCTTACTCAAATCATTATGATAAAATACAGATAAGCCTCAGATCTCTTATAGTTAATATTTCAGGCTTGATAATATGATATGTTTGTTTCAGTAAATGGTCAGGCGTATAACCTAATATCTTCCTGTGGAACTCAACTGCGTAATGGATGTATTTTGACTTGTGTGACGGGAGATGCCTCAGAGACTCCGATTATATGGACAAAGACTGCAACTGCCCCTTATGAAGTGAATCGAGCATCATGTACCACGTCCATTCCACAAGTTCCAGCTGATTATGAACTCAACTGTCCTGGAACTAACTATACTCTAACTATCACAACTGTATCTGAAAGCAGGGATGTCAGTGTTTGGACATGTGCTACTAGTTTGGGTGGAAAGGAAAGCAATAATATTACATTAATCCCAGGTTGGTATGAAAGTATGTGATAGAAAGAGTTAGGTTTGAGAACACAGGTCCCAGTATTGTAAAGGTCTGCTTGAAATATTTGTCTGAATTTGCTGCACGTACCACACTTTTTCTCAACCTTCTGTGGTTGACCAATATAAACTTGGTGCAATCTCATTATGCATCCCTGTCAAGCACGGGACAATTGTATCATTTTTAAACTGTTCACATGTTAAAAATTGACTTGACAAAATTAAAAATGTTACTTTCATCACCCCAATTATCTCAGCTTTGACACTGTATCATATGTATGTAATTATGTTCTACAGGTTATGATATGTGTTGAGTCATTGCAGCGAATTCTGCTGATGTGGCCATTTCACATACAGATACATGTTAAGGACCCATTTTAGTATCAGAAAAGTAATTGGAAATTACTTTTGACCAGAGTGGTCAGAAAGATTTACATTTCCCCACTGTTATTTGCGCCATGAAAGAGGTTTTTTCAGGTATTGAATGTTTCTGTACAATGATATAAACAAATTGTAGTACAGATTTTCTGATATTGTATTACCAATTTAAAGAAATCTACAGATCATGTACACTATAGCTGCAATGATTTGTTGTGCACATTCTTGTCTGCTTCAACAAATACCTATAAATGTTTTTATACATATAAATGCACATTAATTAAGCACCACCTGAATCCAAGGCAAATTTTGAAAGTTTGTTCCAAACATCTAACATTATGGTGGAATGCATGTGCCTTACACAACATCCTTAAAACCTATGTGTCGCATATTCACATGCTGCAAAGGTGCCAATCACTTTGGGGTACAATGTTCATAATTTTCCATATTATTACATTACCTAATAATCTGGATTCTTTGTAGTCTTCTTTGGAGTTTTCCTTTAGAGGATTCTCCGGTAATGTCGAAGCATAATGAGTCTGCCATACAGACATCCCGTCCTAAAAGGAAGATTCCGTTTGGGGGAGGATCCGATCTCCAGAAACTTGTGATGTCTAAGACAACATCTCGTAAAAAGTCCTCGTCGAGATTGTCAACTTATGATACACATGCAACAGAAGAAGACCTGCACACCTGCACAAAGGTTACCACACCTTCTGAGATGATTGAATCTAACAACCATTCATTCAGCCAACAGCCGCCCGTCTAGGACCCAAGATTGCAGTGCGTCAGCCTCCGGTGAAGTCTACCTTCAAGAACCCTTAACAGACTCCGGGCCTTCAAATGAGACAACATATGCAGGCACTTACGTTCACGAGCATACCAGCACAAACATCTAGATATTTGGCACCATCATAGCAAACGACGGGGTTCTTAAACCCTTTAATACGGACGTCTACAACAAATCCTTCGTTGATTTTATCTTCGACTACACCTTATTCTATGTCCACGTTTCGCAAACTCGGTGGCACATCAGGCTCCTCCTGGATTGGCTTCTGCAACACAGTCTCACACATTCGTGAACCCAGCAACACGATCGTCTCTACAAGGTCTTACTGGCTTCAACTTTCCAGTGCAGTCACAGACTTTCGTAAACGCTGGTTATCAGAATCCAACGTTCAGGAACCCACCTGTTCAGTCCTCATTACAAGCACATACTGACTCAAGTTGTCTGTCACCTTCGCAGACCTTTGCAAACCTAGCCTATCACAAAGCAGCCTTCATAGACCCTGGTTATATACAGGACCAAACAAGGACTCAATCGTCTCAACCTTTGCTGTCAGATTTGGTGGAAAACATAACCAAACAAGTATTATTGGCTATGCAGCAACAAAAGTCAAGCATGGCTTCAGAGAAGCTCTTAAGATATTCTACACCAATTCCGACAACAGATGGAGAATGTATCTATGAGGACACGAACATATCCATGGAAGATAGCCATCAGAATGAATTAGATTCATCAATATACACAGAAAATGAAGTACTTGCTTGAGTAGCAGATGGCCTTCCCATTTCGTCGACTACTCAGGATTTGTAGCAGGCAGACACATACCTCATTAAGGATGACGATCTTGACACATTGACTATTCCTCCTATTGAGCCTATTTAGGAAGTGGCGGAGAATTTAAAGTCTGCTTTCGCGAAAGCAACTAAGACTCAAAGTCAACCCACACCAGCGTTCAACCCTCAGGAAGTTCCCGTTGTACGATATGGAACCCTTTTGTGAGGGCCCCGGAGATAGACGATGACTATTCACTACTAAATAATTCTGAGTCTTGCACTTATAGAGTGGAGGATAAGAAGGTTGCTCAAGTTGATACCACCCCCAGACGGGCATTTTACGAACTAGCCGTTTCTATCAGTGATTGCCACTCAGAAGCGAGATCAAGAATTTATCTCCAATCACTTAGCATCCATATCGGTGAGTCTTACCTTAGTGCGATGCCAATGACTGTTATCATCTTGTAATTGGTCGGATCTATACACAAAGCCTCTCTTATGCAAGCCATGGGACACTTAGACTGTTTTTGACGGTGCCATATGCCCAGTCTCCAAGGAGGTCACGCAGATCCGTCCAAATGATGAACTTGATATATATATAAACAAACTACGCAGAAAACCCGATTCTCGGGTATCCAGAGTGCTAAGTAAAAAAAGAACTTTCAGTCACATTCTTCCAAATCTTCTTTTCTCAAGCCAACATATAACAGCAGAGGGTGTTTTTCCAGAGGTAGAACCTCAGGGAGCTCCTGTACTTGGCGTTGATGCTCCAGGTCAGAACGACTGAAGTCTTCCACCCCCAGCTGTTCCTAGAGAACCTCAACTGTGGGTGGATGTCTCAACCACTACTGGGAAAATTGGGTAGAAGATTACAGTAGTATAGGAAATGATAGTTTTATTACAGGACCCCGAGAGCATTATTTCTGGCCAGCGGTGGGCTGAAAAGAAGGTGATGTGACTCAGGAACAACCGTTGATGTCCCTTCTATGAAAGAGAGAATTCTTTGTATTTTTTAGGGTTTACATCTCTAATAGTTAGGGTGGTAATACGTTGTCGTGGGGTACAATAGGCAATTCCTCTCATATAAAGCCACTCGGTCAATACTATATGGTTTCATGGACAACACCGGGTCCATGGCATGGCGTCGATCACCTCCTTCGGTTTCACCGGGCTGGTAAAAATACCCCATGCTGGCCCCTGTCTGACAGTTCCTTTTCTTTATCCCCACGTCGTGGTGCGAAGGATTCGACAGTCACCGATTTCATTTTAATGGCCTCAGCAGGTTTCTTGTCGAACCACTTGGGGTAAACGGACCACCCATTCCATTTATCGTTGTTCGGGTGTTACAATTCCTGCACGTACAGATGCACCAAAAGGCGTTTGGCTAAGGTGCAATTGAATCTTTCAACGATGGCTTGGCTCCGATAGGCCCCCGTTTTTTGCAGCTGCAACACAGTACCCATGAACTCGCGTCCGGGATCGACTTGTAATTTGGTAGGCCACGTCAAACGGCTTTGTTTATAGATACCGTTTCATCTTACGTGTTTATGGAGACTAAGGATCATTACGTCACAAAAGTCATCAATCATGGGATTGTGCTGGGAGCTTACGTCCCCCCGCAAAGAAGGAATGTACTAGTGAGCGTCGTACCGAGAAAAGCAGGTCACATGCTATCTAGTCGACCATCCATCCGAAATACGAGTTTACTGTTGGTGACGGAATTCAAGGACTGCATTACAATGGATTCCGGACCATATAATGCTATATATCAAAGTCTTTCTCGTGGAGCCATCACCCGATAACCCAGATGTTGAAATTATGACAGGAGTCAAACTCTGTTGGGCTCGAAAACATCAATATGACGTTTGCTTGATTTACATACAGAGAGACAGAACAACTTATGCGAGCCTCAAGGGGGTCACTGTGACCTTGGAGAAAAAAAGTTACGCTCACCAAGATTTTTTTACCCACAAATAACCATCTCACCAGCTTAAAGTTTATGCACGAGACATTGTCAGAGAACCATTTGAAGACTATTTCATAAACTAATATTAACATGGGTGATGAACATCACCTTCATCCACACGCTACCATCGTACTCTCCGATCTCTGGGGCACGAGAATTTGATGGACACGGTACAGAAGACGTATTATACACTTACAAAACAAAGTTTACAAATAAAGGAAGTCATGCTCGAATTCCAGTTTGACCGGTTAATAAATATTACCCTTAACCGCCCATTTATAATGATAGATGATGATGGTATGTTATTGAAATAAAAACTAATGAGATTCTACTCATTAAACCTTTAGAAAAGACGACATACGTAGCAACAATACAAGATAAACAGGCTATATGTTAATGACCCGTCCGGAAAACAAATATAAATGGTTAAGTTTATGATTTAGCGAATTGTATGAATTACCAGAGTTCAATATTAGACAAGGCTATACGTTGTATTTTGAATTTTTTCTTGTAAGTGTACCTACCAAAAATATTAAACATATACATGGGATAGAAATACGCTGGGGTCAAAAACGTGCCAAAAAAGGTTGTCGTATTTATGTACAATCAAACCTTGAAGGGGGCGTTGTTGGGATGGGATTGTACCCGGCCATGGATGAATTAAGTGGCTCAAACACTGGAAATCGGGGACGGCTTTCGCTTGTGACAAATTAACGAGATTAAACAGCATCTCCCAAAAGAGCATGATACATGAATCAGATTGCACAAAAAATGCCACAGAGCCGTGAATGTTATCGATGGTGTAGATAGCACGCTCGTAGCCACCGGCATGGGGCTGGTTGTGGTCAGGGTCGGTTTATTGTTATTTATCATAGCCGCACCGATCGTGCTCAGCATGAAAATAGCGGCAGGGATCCCAGAGTTATCCAGGAATAGCCATTAAATTGATTTTGCGCCAGTTGCAACGAAAGGCGCTGAAACACGACACTATTTGCACTCTGGCCGAAATGAAGTTGAATACTGTCGAGGGTCACGTCTCGACATCCATCTCCGACAGTAAAGTCTCTGAAGAAGAATTCCGTTTGTTGCTGTCGGAACTCTCCTAATACCATAAGATGAAACAAGTCCCATAAAACTATTGACAAAAGTTCATAGAACAGGCGAAACAAGACGCCTGACAAGCATTCCTTCCCAAAACCAAAGAATTAACAGCAGATTCACACTGAATTGTTTCCTCGATGTCAATTCGTATTACAAATTTTGAAAATTCTATAAAAAAAAAATCTCTTTCATAGAGGGGACATCATCGGATGTCACTGAGTCACACCATCCCCCTTTTTTAAACCCACCGCTGGGAGCTAATTTGGCTAGAATTAATGCTCTCATGGGTACCTGTAATAGAACTATCATTTCCTATACTACCCATATGTCTCTCAAGTTCTACGAGAAGGTTATTGCCTCCAACTAAAAGCTACGCCCCCTCTTACAATGACTCCACCAGTCATAAGTTACCCGCTGTCGGAACTACCAAAGCAATGAGAAGCCATCAACTCTATATTAGTGAAGGATGCTGTGGAGATAGTGGAACAAGATCAACTGAGCTTAGGCTATTACTCACCAATTTTCCTAGTACCAAAAAAGAACTCCAAGGAGAAATTCCGACTTATATACAACATGAAACAGTTCAACCTACTTTATCTGCAGGAACCGGAAAAGTTCAACATCGTACATCTACCAGAACTCAGACTGCTGATACAAACCAAACGATTATCTGGCCAGCATAGATCTGCAAGACATTTATCTACATATCCCTATTTACACCATTTACTATTACTATTTACGTGGCTATTTGTAAGCAAGCCCATAGTGACATATCTACATTTACGATGGATATGCAGTACCCTCTACCTAGATGACAGTTTACAGGCTCATCAAAGTGCAGATCTACTCAGACAACAGTTGAACTTCATGATTCAGCTACTGACACAGCTAGGCTGGTTGGTAAACCTCATGAAGTCGGAGTTATACCCCTCGCAGGACCTCAAATTCCGAGAAATCAGATTCCTCACAGGGAAAAACTGTATAACAGTTCCAGAAGACCCATGGCTAAAAATTCAAGCTTGTCTTCCACTCGCTCTCAAGTCGGCTTTAGCTGTCAAATCTTGGCAGGAATTATTAGGACTGATGACTTCAGCTGAAGCGCTTACGCGCATAGGCAGACTACAACTCCGACTCATCCAGAGGTTCCTCAAACCTTATCTAAACCATCAGGATCTCAAGATCCCTCTATCGGGCCACCTTAAGAGATATCTTTTATGGTGGACAGACAAGTTGAACGTCTGCGGAGGAACCTATTTACAAGCGCCGGCATACAATCTACATCTATACGTAGACACCTCACTACAATGATAGGGAGCACATCTAAACAAAGAAGTCACAGCAGGGACATGGTCCGCTGAGGAGAAATTACTACACATGAATCAACTAGAATTCATTGGGCTCAGTATCTAAGGAACAAGTTCCGCATGATACAAACAGACAACGCAACAGTGGCCTTTTACATAAATCTTCAAGGCACCACAAGATCGGCACCTCTCCTAGATTTGACATTTCGGCTATACAGACTCATAGACAGTCTCAACTTGTAGATCAAGGTCAGGCACATTCCGGGCGCAGTAAACATGCTGGCCAGCGCATTGTCCAGACCACTCAAACTGTCTCCAACGGAATTGATGCTCAATCTGGAAGCCTTTCAACTTCTAATATGAAAACAAGGGCGCCCACTAATCAATCTCTTTGTGACGAGATTCAACAACCAAAATGAGACATTTGTGTCTCCAGTCCCAGATGCACTAACGTGGTCCCTGGACACATTGGCCATCTCATGGGAGGGTCTACATGCCTACACTTTCCCACCTCCAATACTGTTACCAAGAGTCCTACACAAGATTGCTCAGACAAAAGTCCTATGACTTATTTTGGTAGCGCCCTACTGGTCATCGAGAACGTGGTTTCCAGAACTCATAAGGCTCCTCAGAGAACCAGCAATTCGCCTACCAAAATCGCCAAATCTACACCAGTCACACAGCAATCCACAGGGATTCCAGTTACATGCATGGAGCATATTACAAACTGCCTCACCAGAAGAGGGTACTCCAATACAAGGGAACTTCAATTGGGAGAAATAAGTGTTCCACTGTGTTCGCGAAGAAGAAGACAAGCAAATAAGCATGAGTCAGGAAAAGTATAAAATATAAATTTTACTCAGAAAATTACATGTTTGTTTGGCTTTTTTTTTTTAAGAGAGGAGGTATTTATATGAAAGTAGACATGAAGAATCATTAATTTCTTAGTTTCTGTACACTTCTTGATTTGATAAACAAAAAACTTGTACCATGTATGAATTGTCTGGAATACAATATATTGGAAGACTACTATACTGTACACATATATCAGACTGTTTCACTGAGATGCTCCTAATGTTATCCAATATTTAAATCCTGAATTTTAGATAACAATACTAGCTAGCTGTGAGTGTATCAGGGATAATCAATGGAACATACCTATCTTATGTTTGACAAGTCAGGAACCTAATCAAACACTGAACAAGTTTAAATGGCATTTAGGAGTTGATAAGATGAACAATTTAGATAATCTAAGTGATTCATAATAGGATTGGCTTTAGATCATACAGAATGATAACTGTTAACTTAACATCAAGCGATTAACGATGTATATCGGAGAAGTAACCATGAGCAAAAATAACCCAGAGTGTTTGAAAGAAATCAACATACTGTATTTTGTATTACTGGTGAGTGGTTGCACATTTATACATGAATCACCTACACAAAAAAAACAGCGTCTTTATCTTAATCTAGAAGCAGCCCGTGAATATAGACCTAGCTTTGTGTATTATGTGAGTACATTAAAGCTTTATTTCATCACCATAGATTATGTACAATAATTGTGAATAATTCTTTGCATTGATGATATTCCCTATTATTGATGTTTCAGCCAGTCTTAGTTGGTAATGTTGTTAGTATCTTCACCAAAACTTCACATTCACTGAAATTTTGAATTTGTATATCCTAGAATTATCTTCTTTGTTCAAGGACAGTGTAGTATGATAGCTGTACATAGATTACTTGTGGCTAAGGGTTAGTAGGAGAATATAGCTTTGCATAAAACAGAAAAAGGTTATTAATTACTTGGGTCAGTTAAAAACCAAAGTCAGTGACTTAATTTGCAAATAACACTTATGGTATCTCTTAACCACTGATCACAGTTCGTATGTGATCTTAATCCAATTAATTTCCAACTGTGAAAGTATTTTCTCTGTCCGATTGCAGATACAACTACATCTAGCCCTTCCAGTACATCTAGCCAATCCAGTACATCTAGCCCTTCCAGTACATCTAGCCCTTCCAGTACATCTAGCCCTTCCAGTACATCTAACGTATCCAGTGCATCTAACGTATCCAGTACATCTAGCGTATCCAGTGCATCTAACGTATCCAGTGCATCTAGCGTATCCAGTACATCTAGCGTATCCAGTGCATCTAGCGTATCCAGTACATCTAGCCCTTCCAGTACATCTAGCCCTTCCAGTACATCTAACGTATCCAGTGCATCTAACGTATCCAGTACATCTAGCGTATCCAGTGCATCTAGCGTATCCAGTGCATCTAGCGTATCCAGTACATCTAGCGTATCCAGTGCATCTAGCCCTTCCAGTACATCTAGCCCTCCCAGTACATCTAGCCCTTCCAGTACATCTAGCCCTTCCAGTACATCTAGCCCTTCCAGTACATCTAACGTATCCAGTGCATCTAACGTATCCAGTACATCTAGCGTATCCAGTGCATCTAGCGTATCCAGTACATCTAGCCCTCCCAGTACATCTAGCCAATCCCGTACATCTAGTGTATCCAGTACATCTAGCCTAACCACTGCATCAAGCCTTTCTGCAGCAACTAGCCCTGTTACCACAGGACACATTTCTAAGCAAACCACTTTATCAATAGTTGACATCACTTTAATTGTAGTGTTCAGCATTGTTGGAATTCTTATGATTGCAGTCATCATTGTGTGTATCCGCAGCAGGAAGAAGAATTAAGGATATATATCTTGTGATTAATGTGCCTTAGATTTCCTATGTATAATACAATGTAGTTGATGGTGCAAGCTGGACAAGTCCTTCAGATATGTTGATACTGATAATTTAATGGCTAAATAAAATGCTCAACACAAGCAGGCGAGGTTGACAAAAAGTTTACTTGGCTAAAAACAGGTTTTGTTGATTGCTACAGTTGTACGTAAGCACATATAAATATTTAGGACATAGAAATGTTTGAGAACAATAATTACCAAAGTGTTTTGTTGTCAATTACAAGCATTAAAAATATGATTATAGGATTTAAATTTATATCATGAAATTAAAAAATTGTTCAAAGATTCGAGCAATGAGTTACTTAAAGCCACAATCTGTTATAGATATAAAACATACCATGGAAATAAGCAATTTAAGGGAGGAAGGGACATGTTGAGCCTGCATGGTCACAAAACAGATTGCAAAGATGCATAATGAGGACATTTTATAAATTCATATAGAGTGAGTGTGGAAATTGTTTAAAACAGGAGACACCATCAAGCTACAACACTACACCACTGTAACACTGTTGTGTATGTCACTGAAACATCTTCAGGGGCGGTGGGGTAGCCTAGTGGTTCACTTGTCATGCTGAAGACTCAGGTTTCATTTCCACATGGGTGTCCCCCCTCCGCTCACTCGCTCACTTAATCATTTTCAAAAAAGTGTCATTGACAGAAATAGAGAATTTAAATTCTGAGTACCATTCACTGGGGTGGATAGCTCTAGCATATTAGTGTTCTCTTGGTAACCTCTTTACAGTTTAGTTTTTCTCCAAAAGCACACACACACACACACACACGCACACGCACACACACGCACACAAAGTTGATGTTTTAATGACTCCCAGATGTTTTGTGTTCATTCCATCCAACAGGGGGTGTACGTTATCTACTTCTCCTCAAAAACTACTTTATGGAATTCTTTTAGATTACACGTGATTTATAGGGACACTAAAGGCGTGCATCTCATATTTTGATTTTGTATTTTATTTATTTTTTCAATTTTAATGCCGTTTGAACTTAGATCAATTTTGTTGAATTTCTCTCTGAATATAGTGTCATAGGGGGGTGAAGTCTATCCACTTCTCCACAAAAGCTGCTCAACAGAATTGATTGAGCTTCTACGTGTGTTTCATTGGGACTCTAAAGGTGTGCATCTCATACCTTGTTCATCCAATTTCTTAATTTTGTCACTTCTACAGATGGTTGAACATAGTTGAATTTGGTTCTATTCATCCAGTTTGTCCCATACAACAGGGGGTGTACGTTTTCCACTTCTCCTCAAAAACTACTTTATGGAATTCATTTAGATTACACATGTGCTTTATAGGGACTCTAAAGGTGTGCATCTCATATTTTGATTTTGTATTTTATTTATTTTTCCAATTTTAATGCTGTTTAAACTTGCATAAATTTTGTCTTATGAATGTCAGCGGGGGCATCTGTGTCCCTGGACACAATTTTTTCTTGTTCTTATTGCATGAATAAAAATCGGTAATGCTCAACACATGGGTACAACCCTTGATGATGTTCACCCAGGGCTGAAACAATATACTGAAGTTATGCACAACTGAGAGATGTGGCAACATTTCTCTTCTTAACATGATACATGACATAATGCAATATTTCGCAGGACAATTCTAAACAATTGATGTTGAAAATGGAAAACATAGCTTCTTATGTTTTTTCCAAAAATTGACGTCTGATGTTCTTATTTGCAGACATCATCAAAAGAAGGTTGTCAAAAGATATAAACTGCATATGATCTGGTAAACCATAATAATAATGTTCCAGTATTGTCAATGCATCATGTCATGTATAGTATCGATAAATCAGCATTGTAGCACGTGTTTGAGAAGCCTCTGTGATTTCTCTCTTAGTGTGTTTTTCTGTCAGTTTAGATAATACATCTTCAACACCAGAAGGAACCACAAGACCAACTCCCAGTCCTGGCCTATGTACAGATAATTTGTGTTATTTATTTTTCCTCCTCTTCATACCAATGTTTGTGCTTGTTTGGTGCTGTTGGAAAAAAAGAGAAATAAGAATTATTCGGATGAACTGAAGACTGACCAAAGCAATGCACGCTTATAAATATACCCTTGTATGTCTGTTACCCCTGTAGTCACCAATGTGAAAATATTCTCCTGTTTCACATTCGTCTCTGGCGGTTCAAGGCATCAAAGGTCCAGCCAAACAGTTGTTTCAATTTGGTCAGTCTGTCCCAAGTAGCAGGTTATACATGAAGCTTGATGCATAAACGAGTTTACAAAGTCTGAGACTGATGCCTTATAATCATTCATTTTGATTTTCTCAACAACATTCAGTTATATGTTGCTACAACATTACCTTTGGTGTTCCAGTCCTTGATGACTGTTATGGACGAGCCATTTAACTTTGGTGTTGGGTGACATGCCCAGCCTACAATCCTTTCTTTGTCTCGCCACTCTGTATTTCAGAGTTTGTAAAATGATAAACATGGAGTATTTGTTCGTGATTCATAGTGTGAAAAATATATTTTACAAGTATCATGCAGTCCTGAAATAATTTTGTTTTCAGCAAATTCAAGCGAACATATGTTAACAAATTAATAATAAACAATATAAATTTGAAATAAAAGATAGTCTGATGTGATGGTTCACCATTTAAATTGTAGGTCCTGATCAGCATTGTTTTTTATGTTTATTGTTGGTAGATTGTTGTTAACTTTGCCAGAAGTTGCAATTTTTCAAACTGTACATTCAGTTTCTCCCAATCTTCCAGTAATTCAGTTAAATATACCCAGTAATATAAGAACTGATCAGAAGCAGATGTATCATCCATTATATTATTTCATCAGGCATAATATCATGTTATTGAAGTTGCTTGGTATACCTTTTGTATTTGAACATACCATTATCATTGCATCCTGACGTTGCTGCTATTGATAGTGACCCCTGTCACCATTAAGGCTCCCCTATTTCAGCTGCCAAAACATTTTGTTCATGTAGAACTGTTATAAATGGCTCCGGGGATAAAAGATCCAGCCAAATAATTGTTGCAATTAGGTCAGTTTGTCCCAAGTAGCAGGTTGTACATGAAGTTTAATGCATAAACAAGTTTACTAAGTCTGAGACTGATGCCTTATAATCATTCATTTTGGTTTATGTAGAACTGTTATAAGTACTACAAAAATTACATTAAGTAAGTCAAAATGTGGCAGTCATGATAAACATATCCATTTCCTTATCTAAGATCTTTCAAGTTGTCAGTAACAGTAAGCAGAGCATGGATATTGTTAATAACAGTAAGTTGGTGTCATCTGTTGATCACTCTTCACATGATTTCATAATTTTTATGTTTATGTGAACAGTGCTAAAACTTTGAATAAACTAAATAAAACTGATTACAAACATAAGTCCACATATGCAATGAACGCTTTCTCAAACCAGATAGGATAATAACAGATTTGTTGATATGGGATATCTGTTGTATGTCCTCACAGTATAATCTTTCCTTTATGAATCATGAACAACAATACACCTTTACATTTAAAACAAAAGTTTCTTCAAAAAGTACGTAATGTTTAGGAACCATGCATTATTGCATGCTCCATCTCAGGTTTGGAGCAATGTACCCATGCGTGGTAAATGTCAGCTGGTTGCACAAACAACTGTAGTAGATAATGTGCACAATGGCGACTCAAAAACTATAGCTTTAGCTATTAGAGTGTCATTTTAAATATTTTCCACAAGAGAAGGTTTTGTCAAATTTCAATGGTGAATCACATATCAAAATCATTTATTCATAAATTTCACTCGGCATGATAAGATTTTTTATGAGAGAAATGCATCTGTTTGGGGGCACTCTGAATTTGTTGGGGGCTTTTTACATCAAGACAATTTGTAAGGAAAAGACATTGGAAGCTGAAACCATGTTACACATTGTGCAAAAATAAGTTTTCTTGTTTATATCACTTCCCATTTTGCGATCTAGAAGGATATCTACAATATGATCCTTTATAGTAATTATTTTGGGTTTTCGGAACATAGTGCAAGATAATAAAAAAGCATGTACTTTGGTCTAACAAGTGATAAGAAAGTTTATGTTTTAAGAATTCACATTTTATCAATATTTTGAGGTCATTCTCACTGTAAGAATTTCCAGAACTTAAATGAAATCAAAGCATTTTGTCAAGCAGAGTGCATTAGTTTGGATAAAGTACTGCAATTATTTGGAATGTAAATGAGCTTAATAAATGATTTTGTAGTAGATTCTAGTAGGATTGGCTAAGTTCCCAATTTTTGCTTTAGCTGAGTCCTCCTGTTAACTTGAAGACTTTTCAAAATGTGTTTCAGTTTGCAATGGTTGTTTCTTAGCTGACCTATGGAATCTTTGCTTGTCACTTGCCTTTTCGTTTGTAATAATTCCAGTTTTGACTTCATGGTTTGGACTTTTTATATAATTTTCATTATTTAATCATTTATAGTTCCTTTCAAGACAGTTATGTCAAACAAAAGGAACCAAACAGCTCATTATCACTAATATTATTATTAGTTATATGAATGTTGATGTATTATGTGCAGCCTGCTTCAGTTTTCCACTATGGAGTTGATAAGATTTGTGTCATTGTTATTGATTTGTAGAACTTCTTAACTGATTGATGTAGAGAGAAAGTGATTCTAGACACAACAAACTTTTATGAACATTTATGCTTTATTTTGCTAAGTTCAATGAGTTGTTATTGTTAACGTGTTTTATTGAAGTACATACCAATAGTTTCTTCTGGAAAATATTTTCTCAAATTTGGAAGATGACTTTATATTCAGGGTGAAATATTATGTTTCTGCAACAAAATCTGATATGCTAATAGTTAATTAAAGATATTAACAGATATTGGCTAACCATAATTTATTATTCTTTCTCCAAAACATTGAGTAGGCTCTCAAGTTGCAGTAGCAATGAAATTAGATTAATGCCACTGAGGTACACTTTCCTGATTTATCCAGGTTGTTTGTTGTAGTACCGGTATTGTACATTGTTCTTCATGATTCTTTTCCAGCACGCTTTGTTTAGAGAGCATAGCTCATTAATCGTTTCATTATTTTCTTGATATTTGTAAACCTGTCACACATGTGCTGAAGTCAGCAAGTTTGGCATTTGGGGGTTTTATGACAAAAAGCTGATGAGCAGTACTTGTGAATCTTTGTATACAATTCAAGCAAGTGCTTGTCTCTTGTTAAATAATTGTTACTTATCAGGCAAGTGCCTTTTACTATTCACATATTTCTGAGGCAATAACAAGTATAAATGTGGGTTTAATTTTGCAGAACATCACTAAAGAAACATGTAATATTTTTTCATGGAACTTTACAAGCACATATTGTAAAGCAACCATTACTGCTATTGACTGAATGGATCTGAAGGTCAGACATGGTAGCTTGGGTGACAGTCTGACATCATTCTCTGATGGAATAGGATGTTGATCCTCAGGCAGAGTAAATTTAAAAAATCAGTCACAGCATCAAATATGAATTATTGAAAGTTGTGTCTGACCTGCTTTTTGATTTCATGCACATATTTTTAAGGGCTAGAGAAACTGATTATGTCAAAATGTTGACATGTTGTTCCGTCCAGATCTTTTCCATCATTGATTTATCTTTCGTTATTTTTATAATATTTAGATGTGATTGTTCTATGTCATGCCTGTTCCGCAAATGATTTAAGTTCAAGTCAAGTTTATTTCTGAAGTGGGGGACCTTAGGCCCATATTACTGTTACATGCATGAGAAACATTAACATTTCATACAATGAGGATATTTTGTCTGACAAGCATTGCTTTGTACATATAGATAGCTAAATTGATCAGAATAGATTCATAATTTGTATTTTTCAGGTATAAATTTGGTTCTAATTTGTTCATAGATCCTACAAATACAAATAAACTGATATTCATCTTCGATATAAGGCTTTTTACAAAATGATTTTAATAATGTTGACAGATTAGAAGTGTACAAAACATGAAGTCTTATTGAGGACAACTACTTTCATCAAATGATCTATGCGAGCTATCTGTTGCAGAATCTTTATGTTGGCCATAATTTGTTGATATCCTTCTATTCTGAATGGTTAATTTTGTGTCTACCATGCACATTCTACTGAAGAATTAGAAAGATCTGACAAGGATTTCAAAAGAGGTTTTTATATGTAAGCATATTTTAATTTGTATCATATTTAGTCCCTTCCTCAAATATTATATTTGCTCAAACTTGTTGTTATCATGTTACCATCTCTGTTACAGCCACACAACAGTCATGTACGTATATATATCTGTATGTACGTATGTATATCTGTATGTACGTATGTATATCTGTATGTACGTATGTATATCTGTATGTACGTACGTACGCACGCATGCACACACGAGCGCATGCAGATACATACATTGATTGAATTAACGAAATTATGTTTGAAATAGTAGGTAGATCTCATGTTAAAATTTAATTTGCAGTAAATGTTGTTTGCTTGCATTCTTTTATAGGATACACTGGTTTATATGTCTCCAAACAAAGACAGGGAAATTCATGTTCCTCTTTTCCTGTATCTGGATACCCATTGGCACCAGTTGGTATCAGAAGTGACTTTCATATGACATCATTGGCCGCACACAAAATATTTCTGTCACGAACATCTTTTATGAATAGATCAGTATTGGAACATGCTCAATCAAAGTACAGAATATGTTCATATAAGGGGCGATAGGGTAGTCTAGTCGTTAAATTGTCCGCTCATCATGACAAAGACTCCAGGTATAATGTGTGAAGGCCATTTCTGGTGTCCCACTATAATATAGTTGGAATGTGTGAAGGCCATTTCTGGTGTCCCACTATAATATAGCTGGAATGTGTGAAGGCCATTTCTAGTGTCCCACTATAATATAGTTGGAATGTGTGAAGGCCATTTCTGGTGTCCCACTATAATATAGTTGGAATGTGTGAAGGCCATTTCTGGTGTCCCACTATAATATAGCTGGAATGTGTGAAGGCCATTTCTGGTGTCCCACTATAATATAGTTGGAATGTGTGAAGGCCATTACTGGTGTCCCACTATAATTTAGCTGGAATGTGTGAAGGCCATTTCTGGTGTCCCACTATAATATAGTTGGAATGTGTGAAGGCCATTTCTGGTGTCCCACTATTATATAGTTGGAATGTGTGAAGGCCATTTCTGGTGTCCCACTATAATATAGCTGGAATGTGTGAAGGCCATTTCTGGTGTCCCACTATAATATAGCTGGAATGTGTGAAGGCCATTTCTGGTGTCCCACTATAATATAGCTGGAATGTGTGAAGGCCATTTCTGGTGTCCCTCTATAATATAGCTGGAATGTGTGAAGGCCATTTCTGGTGTCCCACTATAATATAGCTGGAATGTATGAAGGCCATTTCTGGTGTCCCACTATAATATAGTTGGAATGTGTGAAGGCCATTTCTGGTGTCCCACTATAATATAGCTGGAATGTGTGAAGGCCATTTCTGGTGTCCCACTATAATATAGTTGGAATGTGTGAAGGCCATTTCTGGTGTCCCACTATAATATAGCTGGAATGTGTGAAGGCCATTTCTGGTGTCCCACTATAATATAGCTGGAATGTGTGAAGGCCATTTCTGGTGTCCCACTATAATATAGCTGGAATGTGTGAAGGCCATTTCTGGTGTCCCACTATAATATAGCTGGAATGTGTGAAGGCCATTTCTGGTGTCCCACTATAATATAGCTGGAATGTGTGAAGGCCATTTCTGGTGTCCCACTATAATATAGTTGGAATGTGTGAAGGCCATTTCTGGTGTCCCACTATAATATAGCTGGAATGTGTGAAGGCCATTTCTGGTGTCCCACTATAATATAGCTGGAATGTGTGAAGGCCATTTCTGGTGTCCCACTATAATATAGCTGGAATGTGTGAAGGCCATTTCTGGTGTCCCACTATAATATAGCTGGAATGTGTGAAGGCCATTTCTCGTGTCCCACTATAATATAGTTGGAATGTGTGAAGGCCATTTCTGGTGTCCCACTATAATATAGCTGGAATGTGTGAAGGCCATTTCTGGTGTCCCACTATAATATAGCTGGAATGTGTGAAGGCTATATCTGGTGTCCCACTATAATATAGCTGGAATGTGTAAAGGCCATTTCTGGTGTCCCACTATAATATAGCTGGAATGTGTGAAGGCCATTTCTGGTGTCCCACTATAATATAGCTGGAATGTGTGAAGGCCATTTCTGGTGTCCCACTATAATATAGCTGGAATGTGTGAAGGCCATTTCTGGTGTCCCACTATAATATAGCTGGAATGTGTGAAGGCCATTTCTGGTGTCCCACTATAATATAGCTGGAATGTGTGAAGGCCATATCTGGTGTCCCACTATAATATAGCTGGAACGTTGTGAAAAACAGTGTCAAACTAAACTCATTCACTGTTCATAAGCAGCTGTCATGTAATGAACATTACTGAGCGTGGCGTTAAACAACAAACCCTATAAGCAAATAACCAGGGTACAAGGACACTGGTTACCATGTAACTTATAGCCTGATTGGGCCATCATCCCTACATGACAATACGACTGTGACAAGACTGAAATACAACTTGATTGTACCAATTGATTGTACCTTACAAGATAAAGTAGAGGAGTGGCTGGCTGCCTCTCATTATTTAAAGTGCTGTAAGTGAAAGATATTACTTTAGACTCAGGGGAAGATATTGACACTGACCACTTACCAGGTATTCACTATATACTGCATGGTTGATAATATGTGTGTTTGCCCCAGCAAGTTGTACATATTTATGTCAACAAAGTAGGTCTTGGCATGAAATATTTGAATTGTGAAAAAAGTATTGTTTTAACAACTTCTTAGGGATTTCAACTTAAGGGCTTGAGCTTGTAGAAGTGAGGATGTTATGAAAATGACATTTAGAATCAATTCATTGCAGTCAGATGACCTGGATTATAATATGACCATAGAATGGTAGTACAATTCTATTCTATACTTTAGGGGTATATTTTTGGTTATATAAACTGGCAAGTTCAAGCAGTTTATCAGGGTGAAGCTGAATCTGTTAGCTCAAATATGCCCAGACTGACTGCTGTGGTTCTCACTTCACAGATGTCTCCACAGTGATGTTTGTGTTGGGATAAGGGTAAAGGTAGGTTACACCCAACCCTCCTTTTAGGCCTTGATACTCTTTCCTATCAAGCACTCCTTTACAATCAATGGTGTTGGGCACCACTTGCCAATCAAACACCCAGTAATGTGAGGTAGGCTGTGGGTTAGCTATCACTCATAACTCATATAATTTTGTTTTGGGGTGCATGCACGTAACCATAAACACTCAGGTGCAGATGATGTTAATTGCGGAAATCAGTGCAATATTGGGGATTACACTTTCTCAGTAAAGTACAGATTCTAGAATTTTTCTAGCATTTGAACACTTTCTAAAATGCATTGTGTATATGTAGATGAGCACTAATTATTTGCACTAATTATGTGTGATAGCGCCTGTAGCCCCATGGTATCTAAAGAGATGAACTCAATTGCCAAGCATAGGTCCATGGTGGCAATGCGAGTTTGGTCCTCCATGACAGGCAAATTGAAATCCAAACAAGTGTGCCCAATAAAGTACATTTCTCCTAAAATGCTTATTCCATCCTTTTCCTACACACCCTTTACTTGACAGGGTGTATTTACTTTAATGAAAATAACAATTTTATCTTTTCTTTGAATTTGAAATATTTCCTGATGTCTCATTGTGAATTTCTTTATTAGTGTTTTGAAGATGATATTATAGAATTATAGACTCTTGTAGAGGTCGATATCGTTTTTATTGACCTGAGTAAAACAATATTGTTTTAAAAACCGATATCGACCTCTACAACAATATTGTTTTTCTCAGGTCAATAAAAACCGATATCGACCTCTACAAGAGTCTATAATTGTTTTATTATATAATGAAAGAGAAACGGGTTTTAACATAAACTTTTAATGCACACATTGTGCCATCTATCCGAGTGATCTGATTGGCTGAAAAGCGGGGTAAGCCCCTTCTTACAGGATTCCTTGTCTATTTTTAGTAACCCAAGTCAATATCGTAATTTATCAGAAAACTCAAGTCAATATCGTGTTTTGTAGTCAATCATGTGACGGTATTTTGACCAATCGTGGTACAGGAAAAATACTACCTATATAATAATCTATTATATTCTGATATCTATATGTATATCTGTGTATACACAGCCATAATTAAACATTTGTTCTATCCCGGTGTTATGATATATTTCTCTTAGTGTTTATATATATACATACATTATATATAATATAGTATAATGTGGAGATACATGTAATGTGTTTTGTTCCCATGTATATTCTGTTTATATGCTTATATTCGATAAAGATTGTTTTTGTCATTAAACGTGTCAGTTGCTGTGAACTTTGTTAGGGGATACCAGTTGGTATTTCAGGGGAGAAGGGGATGGGGTGGGGGGTGTCTTTTAAAAAGCCCTGTTTGCTGCAGGAGGTTTGACATGCAGAAGTCGCAAAAATTACATTTTTTCATATTCTTTCAGTGAAACGTATTGTTTCAGACCAGTGGCATTACACTGACAAAAATTCCCCTTAATCCCAGGAGTATTAAGTGGTTGACCCCTTCATGTATAAGACTAGTATGTCAGTGTTTATGTCTGTATATATACAAAATTCATTTGTCTTTGTCTCTGTCTTATAAGAAATTAACATGTCAGAATTGATATCAAGAATTCACAAAATTATTTGAAAATATTTGTTTCTAATGTCACTTGTTATATGTCTCTGGTAATGCTAGGAGTAAAACTTCATGTACTAATAAGTGTACATTCCACCGAACATAGCATTTGACTTGCTGTTCTGGTTGTGGTCAGTAACTAATATAGACAACAGTATCATGTCCAGTACTAAAAGTATAGTATAGAAGTCTTTCATGCTGATGTGCAATGACTTCAGTTTGTTTAAACATATTTATTAAACAATTACATGGATGAAGAAGAGACATAGAATAAGAGACATCAAAGAAGATTCTTTTAAATCTTATTCATGTACGAACTGTTTTATTGTTTTTTGTTGTATATTGATTCTTTTATTAGTTTGCTGTTAAAGAAAAGCTGTGATATATCTCATAACAAGTTTGAAAAGAAATCTTTTGTTCAAACAAGACTTCAGTATTTGGAAATGTAACAATTATAATGTTATATATGTTATTTTTATATGCTATTTAGTTAGTACACATTTGCTTTATAAATAAATAAAATATATTACTCATAGATGTGACTCTTTTGGTTTTCCTTTGCTAATTTCCTTTCATTGTTACTTAAACAAATATTCATGACAGATCTATTCTACAGATTGTATTATATATGCAACTAAACCCTTGTGTTTACAATTTCTTAACATACTCCCTACTCATGAAAGGGGGCAGTGGGGTAGGCTAGTGGTTTGTTGCGTTTGTTCATCACACCAAAGACCCAGGTTCGATTCCACACATGGGTACAATGTGTGAATCACATTTCTGGTGTCCCCCACCGTGATATTGCTGGAATATTGCTAAAAGTGGCGTAAAACTAACTCCCACTACTCACTAATAATGAATCACAGCTCATAACAATCAGTCACTGGATTGTCTGACATGATTATGTACAGTGAAATGGACGGAGTTTTGCCAGGAGCCCTGAATCAACAATCATGGAATATTAGGGAGTAGTGTACATGAATGTGTATAATGTCTGCACTACTGTCATGCATGTCAGGTTCATGAGTGTGTAGGTGCATCTGCTGAAAACAGGTTTACAACAGCTCTTGACTACACAATCACATTTCACATGACCTGATTATCCTAGCTGGTCTAATTAACAAGTTACCATCTGCAGCACATACACAGAATGTAATATATTCTAAAATGTATGCATACATTTCAGAAAGTTTGCCTGATTGCATTGAACAGATGCTCACAACTGAACAACAAATGAATGAAAATTAAAAATGATAACGTTCAGGTGTATACTGCAATCGTAGTGTAACCCAGAAAATGGCCAATGTTATACTGATCAGTCAGAACAAAACCTGTCTGACTGGGACGGCACAGACCCTGCCTGTATAGGCTGATATTTCAATGTCAAAAGCTTCCATAACCTATTCGTGGCGTGTTATTGCGTCATATGCAGGCGTAACCTTGTTTACCCGTCTCCTTGGCAACAGTCAATCAGTCTGTAGACGGTCATGTTGAACTAACCGTAGCCATGGCAATGTAGGAGAAACACGAGTAAGATCTATATATTCTGCTGGATCCCGATGTCGGGTCGTCATCATGTAGTGTGTGCATGCAGCTGTGATATAAATGGCTTCGTTCAATCGATGAGAAGGGGAATCCCCTTCATAGGCCACACACACACTTCATGTACACAACCCGTTCCGTCGCATAAAACAATATGGCGAAGTGAATACGTTTGTCACAATAGGTGGGCGATGTGCGAGATATATATTGCCTTGCTTCACTGCCGATGAGTATTCCTTGTATGTGCGGGGCGGTGGGGTAGCCTAGTGGTTAAAGCGTTGGCTCGTCACGCCGAAGACCCGGGTTCGAATCCCCACATGGGTACAATGTGTGAAGCCCATTTCTGGTGTCCCCCGCCGTGATGTTGCTGGAATATTGCTAAAAGCTGCGTAAAATCAAACTCGGTCAGTCAGTCAGTCAGTCCTTGTATGTGCTGAGTTTGCGAAACCAAACACCTCACACACACAGAGGCACAGCTATCCAAACGCTTACATACTAATCTATTTTAAGTCTGGGAGGGTGTTATAGTACAAAAGATTACATTTATGGACTCATTTCCCTCCTAATTATCAATATTTTCCTGATTGTCATTAAATATTGTCAGTAAATATTTCCCTTCGTTTTGAACGATTGTTGTGTGACTTATGCCTGTTATCTGAGTGTTATTCACAATCAATAGACATATTTTCCCCAAGCAACTATGACATGCTCTATATGTCCAACTTAAAAAACAAGCAATAGGCCTATTAAATACATTACAAACATTTCAATACAAGTTGATAGTGGCATATTGCTAACTGCGTGGATGGAAACATTCTCTCTCTCTGTGTTCGTATGTCACTGGAAGACGTTATGTTGGTAGAAACTACACATGAACATTAGTTAAGCACCACTTGATTCTAAGAGCAATAATTGCTGTTAAGTTTTGGTCCAAACGGGCGATAATACCCAAGCACTCTGGAATGCACATGGAAAGTTATGGGTCGCATGTTTACGTGCTGCAGAGGCGCCAACTGGGGTATAATTGAGTGAGTGAGTTTAGTTTTATGCCGCACTCAGCATTATTCCAGCTATATGGCGGTGGTCTGTAAATAATCGAGTCTGGACCAGACAATACAGCGATCAACAGCATAAGCATCGATCTACGCAATTGGGAACCGATGACGTGTCAACCAAGTCAGCGAGCCTGACCACCCGATCCCATCAGTCGCCTCTTACGACAATATGTCTGTAAAAGTTATTTCGACACCCAATAATGTAAAATATATATATATATATTTATAAGAAACACATTTTGACTTTGTACTGAAAATCTGGGTAACTGCAGACTTGTTCTCGTCGCTATATGGCTGGAATAATGCCGATGTGACGAAAAACCCAACTCAACTCAATTCAACTGTTTCGACACCGTGATGATTAATTTGCATGCAGTTGTCCTCTGTCATTCCGCAAGGAGTGTTACCCGAGGGTAGGCCAACTTAGGCCGCCTAAATCCCACAGATGTTCTATTGAGAACATGTCAAGAGTCTTAGCGCGCTGTTAATGCATCATGCAAAGTTTCATTGTGATTAGGTGTTGCATAACAGTATAAGTACACACACCCGAACTATACAAACATTTACGTCACTAGTTCCCAACTTTTTTGGTCGGTGGTGTACCCATACCTACGTGTAACAGTATTTTAAAAAAAAAAATCTTTTTTTTTAGGACTCGGCTTAATATGGGTTGATATGCAGGATCATATCTGGACCACGTGAACTGATATAAGACCCACATATGCATCAGGTACACACAAACACCAATATCACTTTAGTTCTGATAAGATTAAAATGTTTAATCAGGGGTCTGTGCACACACGTCAATGATACAGGTGCCCGCCAGCTCTTTTGTTGAGGGTTGATAAGAAGGGTCCTTCCACTGTAATTCTTGAACGATCCAATCCAACTTAGTATGATTATGATCACTGTTTACACAACCAAAGCGTGGGAAGTAAGGAACTCTAACGGACTTACTTCATTATGTCTTTGTCTGAACGCTTACAGTATTTAGATCTGATAAGGCTTTTCCGGAAACAAGTTACGTTCTTAAGATTTAGTAACTTGTGAAAATTGCTTATGGTGTGCATGACCACCCTTTGTGAGACTCGTACGTATGTTGTGCCCTTAAACGCACAATAGTCGTAAGTGCACAGAAATCATGAATATTCATGAGTGGGCGGAGCTTATGTCACTACGTCACATACACGGCACAGTATCTTCCGCGGAACTAGTAGAGGGAGTTGACCTATAAGCTTCTTCGTCTGTTATTGCCTTATACAATGTGACAGCTACAATATGCATATGAGGTGTAATGTACAGGGTAATCGATAATAATTACCCTATATAGATATCTTTACTACTTATGACGTATTTTGGGTATACTAATTCCCGCGGTATCAGTTACACTGTCCATGTAGTGTTGTTCCGTGCCAGTGCACTGCAACATATAGTTTACCGTGATCTTTAGATTACGAGAGCTCATACCGTTGGAATTAGTATGTAAAACAGATCCAAGCCATCTCTTCACCTCGTTCCATCAGTCTACCTGATGTGGCGTAATGTATGTAGCGACTTTGGTGTTGACTTGTGCTGCCTCAGGTAAGCTACGTCTCGGCATGGGCGCCGCCATGTTGTGACGTCATAGCGAGGTGTTTTAGAAGGTTTCGTATCTAGGATTTTACGTCACAATAGAAATAACGGGGATGAGAGATTCTCCGATTAACGGTTGAGAGAGACAGACGAATCACTGAGAGTTGGATGGTTGCATCTCGATCGTAGGGAAGAAAACCCTGAATAACATGTAAGTTTACACCCGGCTTGCCGGAGGCACTATACTCGCAGAAGCGCATGTAAAATCTTTCTACTGTTGTAACTATATATAATTGTACTGTACCTTATAACTTGTAGAGTAACGCTTTGGGCGGCGTGATTGCATATTGTCTTTACTGTTAGAAGTTTGCTATTGTTTATAATAAATTTGCTGTTGGTAACTTTTATGACTTGTGAAATCATTTACTAGTTAAAACTGTTGTGTTGCCGTGGCTGGAAGAGTGATCCACATACCCACATTGTCGTAGTAAATACCTCTCCAGCCACCCCGTCGACCGTTACAGTTTTATGGTGGCAGCGGTGGGATCCATTATGGATCACCTAGTAAATTGTGACTAGTAAATTAATTTATTATAAATGTCAAGTAATATAGTGAGTAATTTGTAGTTTTATTAAATCATTTGTATAGTACTGAATATATTAGTCATGGCAAGTCCTTTGAGTAGTGCTGATCCTTTGGATGGTCCTGCTGGAAACTTACGTTCTCGTCGGATGCAAATCAATCCAGAGTTAAACTCTGAGTTAAATTCGGGAACATTCTCCCCAGGTTACATGAACAATTCTCCTGTTCATAGACAATCTTTTGTTGAACCTGTACCACCACCAAACACACCACCTGCCATGGTGAGCTCAGATTCAAACTTATTGGGTCTTGTGTCACAGCTGTCAAGCTGCATGATAAGTCTATCACAGAGAATTGATTCTCTAGATCGCTCTGCTAAGAATAATTCTGTGGGAAGAATTTCGCTTC